GTCCAGTATACAGAAAATAACTTTCTGTTGGGTTAACTTCATTTTAAGATCATAGAAAACTGATTTCACATTATTTAAAGCAACATTCTATCACTTTGCCAGAATCTGCATTCAAGCTCATTATTCCAGAGGTTATATAAAAAACAATATCAAATTTGTCAACTTCCTGCAAAAAAGGATTATTCCTCCTCTTTAAGAGCAGCAATAGCAGCTGGATCAAAAGACAATAATAAAATGCTTGAAAAAAATGCCAAAAGTTACAAATGTTTTTTAAGTCTGTGAAAGTTTTAAAAAGAGATTCCACAGAATTTAGAGTTGATCCAAAATAAATAACATTGCAGAGACTGTGTTCATCCCACAACTGGATGTACATGCTATTTTTAACTGCTATTGTCTCAAAATATAAGGTAATTTTTTCAGTCTAAATGGGCTAAATTTATATTTTGCAACTCACTGTCTTTCATATCTTGCAGCATTACATGTAGGTATTAAAAATACATAAATAGGGATTACAGTACTTGCTAGGATTTCTGTAGAGTCAAATAAGTCAAAAGAAGAGCTGAATTTTAAGCCAGTGTACTTGCTAGGATTTCTGTAGAGTCAAATAAGTCAAAAGAAGAGCTGAATTTTAAGCCAGTGTATTACATGTAGGTATTAAAAATACATAAATAGGGATTACAGTACTTGCTAGGATTTCTGTAGAGTCAAATAAGTCAAAAGAAGAGCTGAATTTTAAGCCAGTGTTAGTGGTTATTTCAATAGTCAATGTCTATTTCAGTCTAATGTTTTGTGAAACAACAATGTGATTATGTAATTAAAATGGAATTAACTAATCTGCTTCAGTGTGGTATTTTAAATGGATTCTTCAAGTGTGTCTCAAGGCTCTAACAGTGCCAATGAAAGTTTTTAACAGCTCATTCTCATGCTGTTTTACAAAATAGCTTTACATAGTTTGCTATATGGTATGGTGGATATTGTTCAAGAAGTATGTTCAGAACCATCTTGTGCAAACATTTAATTACATAGTTTTTTGGAGTTTGGTCCATTTTTATTAATATTGGATGTATATTGAATGTTTACAGTTCTACCAACCAACTAGAATTAATGCTCACTGATAACCCTGAATGTGTAGAAATTGATACTTGTTAATTGTTAATGTGTTAAATTGAAGTTTCTCAAGAACTTGTAATTTGTGGAAGAAGAATCTGACAGCATGGCCTTCCCAGAGATATTTATTTAGTAACCTGTAAACTTGTTTAAAATAATATGACTGAAAAAGTATAAATCAACCTTGGATTTAAATTCATCTTAATCACATTTATTTACCCCAAATACCTAAAAGAATTCTGGACTGTCTCTCTAGATCTTCTTTTATTTGCCTCCAAATGATGGAAAACCATCCTGTAAATTCTTATACAGAGATTAGCAAAGGAGTCAGAACAAACCTAAAATCCTTAAATGATCAGAATTAATGCTATGACCCAGTGGCATCAAGTCTGATATTTTCCAATTTATAGAATAACCAGACAGGATATAAAATATATTTATTAAAACATTACATTACGAATAGGGATTTCTGTTTATTTCTAACATAGCAACTGAATATAGTAGAATCTGGTCCTCTGCTTCTCAGCTATAATTCCTTAAAGTTTTAAAGTTCTAATTCTGAAAGCAAGAGGTTGAGCTGAATTAAACATTAAAAAGAGAGGGAGAAAAAAAGTATTGTTGGTGTGTACCTCAATCTAAATGTAACGAAATAAACTGTTCATTAGTAGTAATAATCATTCATGATTTAATAAACCATAGTAATCTAAAATATGAAACTTAGAGAAACCTAAGTTGAAGTAGGAATGGGTACAAATCTATATACATAAGTTTTGTTTACGCAAGATGGTTTTGAGTATGATTCTTGAATAACATCCACCATATCATGCAGCAAACCATTTATATAAAGCTATTTATAAACTTCATAGGAATGAGCTGTCAAAAAAGAAAAGGTTCCATTGCCACTTGTAGAACCTTGAGACATGCCTAAAGTCAATTTAAAACATCACATGGAAGCAGATTAATTAATTCCATTTTAATTATCTATTCACTTTCTGGTTCCACAAAATTTTAGACTGAGATAGATTTTGATTATGAAAATAACAAAATAACTAAAATTGGCTGAAATGTTAATGCAGGGTGGGGAAGCTTACAGGTCTGTTGGATTCCAATTTCCATCAGTCCCCTTCAGCATGATCAGTGACAGGAATGTTGGAATTGTAGTGTAGCATTCACTAATTCAAACCTCTTGATAGCTTGACTCTGTTCTTACTGAGTAAATCTCTTTCAGTAGATTATATAGGAAATCCCTATCTTTGTGTGAAGATTTGTTATGTGCAGCACACAATTAGAATGGGCCCAATATCAATGATGAAGTTCAGTATTCAGTTTCTGGTTATAGCTGAACATTCTAACTGACTAGAAAGTGAACTATACATTGTGCAGACGTTCTATCTGTGAATTTATAAGTATCACGCTTTTCTGCCTGTCGGTACCGGGAACAGCCCAGGTTAATCCACTGCAGGATGAAGCCCTTTTCAATTGCTTTACAGCTGCTTCAGTGCACTACAATTTGTTTCTAGTTAACACCTGTCAGTCCTATAAAATAGATCAGACTAATAAACAGACACTGTGTGGGCCTAAAATCACTTTATTAGAACAGCTATAGTAACAGAATCTTGCAAGTCTTAATGTATTTCCCTCCTCCCTCTTTTATCTTCATGTGAATTGGGGGTGGGGGCACTGTTTGAAGCGTTTTCATAAATCTCTCTCTTGGTATGGGCTCAGATCTTGTTTATCTGATTGTTGCCTTGGTAACATCTTCCCTTTATTCATCAAGGCCATCCTCTATACTGTCTACAACACCTTTGAATTGAGTTCCACGGATTTTCTTAATGTCACTCAGTATCCAGTCAAGGACTGTTGTTGTCCAGTGTTTATCTGTTCATCGTGCAATTATATATATATGGTGGTCCTTTGGGTTTGAAGAAGACACACTGTTGTGCATTTCATCTGTGGACATGGATGTGGCTCTGCAGTCCCAGTCTGGAAGCACAGAGTCTAGCACAATGGAGGCACTGGAAGATCATGCAATATGGCTAGCCCATTTGCCATTTCCATGAGACTACCCAATTCATTAGGTTACATACTCTTGTCTGTTGGTGGATCGTTATACCTGTGTTCTTGTCACAGCATGTTATGTTAAGCATTTGCTGTTGAATACAGCATGAGATTGCCCAAATGCTCTTCAACCTAGTTTCAATTTTTTTTTTAATGATATCGCCCTCCATGGTGATCTTTTGATGTAGATGTAGTTATTGATCTTCTCATGATTTTCAATTTTTATTGGCAAAAGTTGGAAGT